CGATTCACATACACGCACACGTTTCGCAAACATATGCTCAATACAAGGACAACGAAAACGATTGCTGTGCACTCAAAAACACTAGCAACAGATAGCATCTGCACAATACAATAACAATGTGAACGAGAGAAAAAGCAGCGCTGCCAAACCACACAACAGTATATAAATTGGAAAAACATTTCATTTTTATATTTAGTCTTGTCGATTTTTCCGTAGCGCACGGATACAACAAGCGAAATTAGGAGAGAAGAGATAATTTTCCGTATTGTAATTTTCCGTATTTTTTTTTCATCTAATCGTGAATTAGTTCATTTTGTGATATCAAGTAGAATCCATCAAAACCACATTTAAACAAGGTAAGTGCCATTTCATTCCATTGAATCAACGAATTTTAAGCGAAAACAGAGAAAATGATATTGAAGAGCAGTGAATTTTTGCAAAGTTACGTGAGAATGTGATCCAAAAATAATTTGTTGGTTTTTTTTTTTTGCTTCTTGTTCGGACGAATTTTTTTAAAATCATTTTATAATGCGTGGACTCCTGCTTCGAAATTGATATACGCGATGAGAATAGATTCAACATTGTACGGTGCTATTTGTCGATTTCATTTTCAATTGAATGGAACCGAGTCTATATTTCAGCTGGTGCACGAATTCGATAAGCCACCCATTTTATCGTCAATCGGATGAGTACAAGCAATAAAATTTTAATCGCGCTATGTTCACGCGGTACTTAAATGGTCCATGTTTTCTTTCGAACAAAATATTCCATTTTGCGCGTGTCAATTATTTTCTTCTTGACGAAACTAATAAATCGCGAGGAAAGAGAAAAAAAAAATTCCGTTGCCCATTTGAATCGATTCTCTCAACTGTTTTCGTTGTTTATCACATTTTTTTGTCGGCATCGTCGTCGTCGTCGTCATTTGTTTGTTGAACCGTTTATTGACACATTGTTATTTATCAAACGAAATCAGCCGCATTGCGTGAACTCTCTTGTTTGAGCATAAAATTAACTATGTCGTCTGTTTTATGTGACTCACGAAAAAAAAAACTCATTTTTAGAATCATTTCATTTCGTCGCAATTAACGAGCGCGTGTGTGCATGAGGCTGATTGACATGTTAGTATGACACGTACCACAACTGTATACAAGCTGATAACCAAATTGATGCACTAAATTTCTCCATGAATATTCGCCGCACGTTAAATTCAATGCACAGCTTATAATTAAAATCCAATTAATCATTCGATCGATGTGGATCGAGCTCCGTATAAATCAAACAAAATCAGTAATTCGATTCTTTGTCTCGATTTGCCAGTAGCAACATATTAATAATAATTAACTTGCACTTTGTTCCTAGCTCAATGAGGAAAGCACAAAATGAAACATTGAAAACGGTTCCTCTGTGAACTGTATGTGCTTTATCATTATTGAAAGGAAAGAGAAAAAAATGGCAATAAGCAAATAGACGTTGTGTTAGAAGAGCGCAATTCATAAACATCATTATATCAACGTTGTGTCATTGAAGCGATGAAATCGTCAACATTTAAACGTTTCAAACTCACTTATCCATGGTCATTGAGAATGAAATGCATGCATCGAACACACACACACATGCGGGCATTTCGCTGAAAATATGCATCGATGATGATAAAAAAAGACTTTCCTTACACGTAATGTGTCAGTGAGGCAAAATAGCGGCTAAAAATAGTGCCTGTTTAGATATATGGTTGTGTGTGTGCGTTGTAGTAATGAAATCGTCGCCCGTGTACAATTGATTGATTTCCATCAAATATCGAATATCCAGAGGCAAATCACCCGAAACCAGTCCTAGCACACAAATTGTATGCATAAGCGACGACAGAAAAAAAAAATTGTTTACAGCGTTTTAATGGCTCTTTTCCCTTTCCCTCGAGCTCAGTACCGTCATCTGTTTCAATTCAGATTTCATTGTCAAGGTGATTGCAACGCGTGTTCGCAACGACAAAACAAAACACGACACGATAACAAAATGTGAACAAAATAGCTTCACTTCGTTCGAAACAAAAGTGACTAGGCTTGCGTGGGACGAGTTCCCCACATTTGATCGCTTTTGATTCCTTCCTCTTTGTAGCTGCTTAGACGTAATTTCGCACATGTCAAATGTGCTTAGATGCAGTTTTGAATGCAGATAAACTGTGACAATGAATGCAATTGTGCAAACGACTCAATTAAAATTTATCAATGCACACACAATAGTGTTTACTCGCTATCCACAAATGCGTCGCAAGGCAAGCGAAACAGAATAGCACAATGTAAGTGTTTACAATTACGATCAAAAGGGGGAGAAAAAAAAGAAAGAATCAACCAGAAGGTTTTATGATGTGGAAAACAAAGTGTTCACTTGGCATGTCTTTGCACACCCAATCAAATTAAAATGCAAACTTTGCATTACATCGAAATGATTAACGACACTTGATAGTGATTAATGGACGCAAATGCTCATTTTCCACCATCAATTCGTCATATGGGCAAGAAAAACTATTTCTTTTTCGGGGCGGAGCAGCATATGACGCAAGAAATGATGATTTTTCAGGGTCATTGGCATTATCATTGGTGCTGATCTGGAAAATTGAATTGAAAAAACTTCATTGATAAACTCATACTCGACACGCACAATTATACGTACAATAATCTAAGACCATTTATAGCTTGAAGGTGAACTTCGTGTTCTGCTCGAATATCGCCTCGTTCCGAATTTTTAAACACCGATAAATCAAGTTTAGTTAGACAGTGTGCGGCTCCAAGAAAAAATTATCATTCACTATCGATGCGATAAATGTACTTGAAATATTGAACACAATTCACAAATGAGGTGATTAAAATGAAATTTGGTTTGATAATCACTTTGCAGTGGACTTACTTTTGAAACGAGATAAAAGAAAGAAGCTTCCAATTTAGATAGAGAGCGTTCGGTCAAAAACAAAAGAATGAACGGAGATATGAATAAACGCATGTTCGAAAGTTCAATAGCATTAACTCACAAACGAACTGTACGCTCTGTTTATTCTGGTTAAAAATATCCCGAAACGTTGTCGACCCTGCTCTTTGTTTCCTAGACAAATAAAGACGCAACTCAAAATTCTTCATTGTATGCGCCCGGTCAGACAGTGAGCGTATGATCGATTCAAAATTCGAGTCGTTGCCAAAATCAATTTTAACCCGAAAGAAAAAAAAACATTTCAATCTCATGTTTTTCGTCATGTGCCACGTGTGAATTGATCTATTTACTGTGTAAGAGATGACCAGAAAAAATCATGTAATTTTAAATTGAAAACGTAAACATCTACGTTTTTTTTCCCTTCTCTATACAGCTAAAACCATTTTTTGTTGTTTGTTCATTCATTTCTTATCAGACGTGATTGTTGTGAAAGCACAAATCTCGTGCTGCTTTTGACAAAATTCATTTACCAAATCGCATCGCATCGAGAATATTGTACGCAAAAGTGTCGACTATCCGCTGATTTTGTATGTAGGTTATCAATTTCGAGTCAATGTATTCGTATTTTTATTCCCCTTGTTTGTTGTTGTTTCACTCGGCCACTTATTTTTTTCGGTTTGCGTTCGAAAAACAATGGAAAAAATATTAGTGTGATAATGAGTGGAAAATGTAACGTATTGATCAATTTGATAAATTGCTCTGGACACACTTTTCCAAATTTACAATCGAAATGGCTTAATGACATAAAGAAATATTTGTGAAAACAATCAGCAGAAATTTTTATGATTTCATTTCTTTTTTGCACCGTAAAGTCATTAAGATTATACCGAGCTGTTATATCACTTTTGCTTTGAACATTAAACATTGTCAGCTGATAAGTTTAGAGCGTTTGCACGTCATTTTGAGATTCTTTTTTTTCATTTTGTCTAGCTAACGCTTTATTTTGCTGGAATCAAAGAAAAAACGTGCAACGGATTTATCGCGAATGAATGCCCAATGCCCATATCATACAGTAGCACCAAAATTGTCAAACGATTACGCTGTTATTCATTCACATGATAATAGGTCAACGTTCATAATTTGCATGTCGATAAGATAACCGAGTGAAATAGAATGAATTCAGCACGTTGTTCATGCACTTCTTGAGCACAGACAAACAATGCGTTTGCTGACTTCAACAAATTGAATGATTCTCACATGCTTGTTGTGCATCGAGATAGATCAAGTAGCTAGATTTGATGAACAACAAAAAATTAGAGCGTAAATATTATAATTTTTTTTCGTATGTCTGATCGGTAATTGAAACAGCAAGTGAAAGTGACCGAAAACGTGCTAAATGTTGTACGTTGGTTAGTAATGACAACAATTGCGTCATCGACACGATAATTGAATAAGAATTTTATTTGACCGATTGATTAAAACAAATTCGAAGTTCCAACACAAACATGAAACAGCCGAAAAAATTGGCTAGAAGATACAAGAGCAAACAATTATTCGCGTTGATTTTACAAATGGTTAGTACTTGTTCGGTGGTAACAGCGGAAAAGACACGGAGAGATGAGACGAGTTTAGCGGTAGCACAGACAGTCGAATAAGCTCCAATCTAGTAGCACGCATTGAGATCTCATTTGCGACTGTGCACGTTCTGATCACATGCTGTTAAACATCGTATCAATCCCGAATCCATTTTTATTAGCACCAGCTTTATGATGATGGTTTTTTTTATTCGCTCTCCTCTCCATTCACTCTCCGACTTATTTTGATCAATATTCAAAGGCGTGCATTCGTTCTCTTCCCAATTCGTTCTTTTCGATGATGTTCTTTTTCTCGCTTCATTCGGAATCTTATACTTTGCTGTGTACATTTTTATGACTTTGTTTCTTGTGTAAACAGTTTTTTGCGAATACAAGTGTATATTAGCACCACACTCACACATAGATCAGAGGAAGTGTTATGAATGTGCTAAATGAAAATTTTCGTAAAAAATTTCATTTAAATATCCAGCGATATTGCAGCAGCCGCATCAGTTTCCGACCATTTTGCAACGCGATAACATATCGTAAAGGAAAACACCCAAACTTTCACAGTGCAAAAATTATCATTTTTTCTGTGTGACTCTCTGATGTTTGACTCTGTGCTGTTTTTTCAGTAGTTTTCTTGAATAATAAAATCAGTGGATTTTTAAAACTTGTATTTTTCCGTTGAGTGTGGTGCTTACAAGAAAAATCGGCCAAAATGATTCCGGTAACTCATTTTGAATTTTTCTCATTAGAAGTTAGTCGAAGCAAATTGATTCAAATCATTCATTCAATCGCAAAACTTCCTCCTGCAATTGAAAACAAACAGAAGCCATTTTCGACTTGAATCATTTTCGAAGCAAAGAGAAATAAATATAATTTTGAAAACAAAATGATTGATCCAATCGTATTTATCGCCTCAGCGAATGACTCAATGTATATTCATTTTTGCGCCGCTTCGCATTTTATATGCGATGAATATCAGCTGAATTTAATTATAGTGTTTGTAATGAAAAAAAAAACCGTCTTTTCATTAGACCAAAATAATTTGGTCATCATTTTTAATTGAATTACAAGTGATGGTTTTGGTGCAAATATCATTAAATGACCTTTTGACAAAACCCCAAATTGCCCTTTGCTAATTGTGAAATTGCGTTTGATCTTTTCAAATTGTCGCTAATTTGTATTCTTTTTTTTTTGTCGTTTCTTCCAGATGTCGAGAACTTTAGAGTCATCACCAAATGCATTGATCAACAAAAAAGTGTTGGATCGTTATTTGACTTTGGAATTGCCAGAGAATAAAATTCAAGCCACTTACATCTGGATCGACGGCACTGACCAAAACATTCGTTGCAAGGACCGTACTCTTGACTTCGTTCCAAAATCTGTGAAAGGTAAGCTTTCGCCCGATTCGAAATATTTCAATCCAGTTAGTTTTGAATCGTCCAGAAAAAAACCAGTTGAAAATGAATAAAGAAAGAGAATCGAAGGAAAAGAAGAAGATAAAAACAAAAGTAGCGAGAGAGCAACAGTTGGAAAAAATCGCATTCAAAACAAAGTAGCCCGTTTATTGCGATGATGCATATCATCAGATATGGTGTAAGTCGAACCTTGAATAATGAACAAGCGAAAATGGGATAGTAGAAAATAAAGCGACGACTCACAGCCATATAAATACGCAGTATACAAAGTCCGATAAATATTTTGCAACTCCTACGATCAACGTTCGGCGTAGCGTTTTGTTTCTTTCCACTGTGCACTGTGTTTTGTTGGTGTGTTGCCTAAGTTTCGCGCTAAACAATCGCGGGTACCGGCAAATTATTGTTGTCACGAAAACAAGTTCAAGTTTTATTTCTTTCGTTCGCGTTGCTCTTTCTTTCTCGTCTCATTTGAAAATGTCATCATCGCGCAGCTGCTGGCAAGATTTCACTGTTTTGTATCATGTTCTCGTTTGCATTGATGCTACGCGTGTCAGCACCACAGCTGACAGCACCGACGTCACCAGCTGAATAAATAGGTTCAATGGAACAGAAGGAGAGAAAAAATCACAGAGAGCAAAAGAGACGAATTAGAAGAAAACCCCAACCATCACACAAGACACACGCACAGTCATTTCGGCAGGTAGCGGAAAATTTCCATCGAATTTTGCACACAGAAACACCAACGGCCGTTCATTCCAAAAATAGCCTACGAGTCTCGATGTGGACGAAAACCGCGCAGACGTGATGACTTATCTTGTCCGCACATTTAACTGTGTGACGAACATTAAATTTTTTAATTGCAAAAAACAACAGCGTTCATTGTCTGAATTTTGTGTACAAATTTGCACTGCAAACACCATCGCTAATTCCTGATTAGGATGTCGACATATTCATAAAAAAACACGATATGAATCGTACTACTTTGACAATACATACAAAAATACATACGAATCACATTCATTCAGTGCGATCAGCTGCTTGTTTCGTGCAGGAAGCGTGATTTAAATTATTTTATTTAAATGTTATGTTTAGCATGTCATGAAAATGCCATTTCGTGTGTATGCTTTGTTTTATCGTCTCTGTTTGAAAATGGTAAAAGTCAAATAAATTAAAAGTGATTAAAAAAAATCCAATCAGACGATTGAAAATGTGAATCAATGGGGGGTTTTCTGCTTTTTTATGACCAATCAACCGACTGATCAACTCAATCGAAAGCTTTTCACATCGCCAAAATTTCATCAATACAATCGACGAGATGTGTGTGCTTCAAGGATGGAAATGTTGCATTTCTAGTGCTTCAGTTCGACGAATGTGAACGGCTTCTATTGATTATATTCGTGTGCTAGATTTTATTTTCTTTCTGTCTCGTTGCTTACGAAGCGTTTTCATTAAAAATGAATCTAGCGTGTCTTGGATTGATTGAAATCCTTCGCGTTTTGTATTTTCTAGCGGAACGCAAACAAACCGAGTGCTATTGTTCTACATTCATTTCGAAAGTAAAACGAGTTAATGCCTTTTGTGGTGCTTGTAAAAGCGTTTCGCATGAACCAGCGCCTGTTTCACCTTCAACTGTCCTCATGCTGTAATATGAGATGTTTATTTCGATACATGATAGCCAATTGGTGTCGACCATACAAATTACAATCATTACGAGCGTTTGTCTCTAATGTTCTAGCCCCTCAATCATTAATTCACGTCAGAAAATGGCATATCATTATAATGCCGTTTATTGGATAACGACCTGAAAATTGAATGTGAACTAAAAGCCAATCTGATGAGCACAGAAAGCACTAGCAATCCTCTGTTCCATCTGTCGTTCTAAACTAAAGCCGGATGTTTTTATTTTCAATAAATTGAATAAATGCATCTCACTCACATGTGTGTTGACAGTGTGTTAATCAAAATAACACGAATTTTAATTTGTTTGATTTGTTGTTTTATTTTTAGAGCTTCCAATTTGGAACTATGACGGTAGTTCAACGTACCAGGCAGATGGTGCCAACTCTGATTTGTACTTGCACCCAGTTGCCATTTACAGAGATCCATTCCGTCGAGGCAAACACATTTTGGTATTGTGCGAAACTTACTCATATGATGGCACTCCAACCGCCACCAATCATCGCAAAGAATGCGCCGAAGTAGCAGCTAAATGTGCCGATGAAGAACCATGGTTCGGCATTGAACAAGAATACACTTTGTTAGACATTGATGGTCAACCATTGGGATGGCCAAAGAACGGTTTTCCAGGACCACAAGGACCATACTACTGTGGTGTTGGTGCCGATAAAGTATACGGTCGCGACGTTGTTGAAGCTCATTATCGTGCCTGTTTGTTTGCTGGCGTCAAAATTTGCGGTACTAATGCCGAAGTCATGCCAGCTCAATGGGAATTCCAAGTTGGACCATGCGTTGGCGTCTCAGTCGGTGATGACTTGTGGGTCGCCCGTTTCTTGTTGCACAGAATTTCAGAAGAGTTTGGCGTAAGTAAAAAATAGTTTTTACACAAGGGGCAGTTAAGAAAACGTTTTTTCGAGTCTCTTTCGCATATATGATTTGATTAAAGTATTCATTTTGAATTTGTTAACAAATCGTTATGTCGTTAAGTTTTATAATGGCCTTGGTACGGTTATTTCCGCAATTCCAAGAATTAAGAAGTAACGAAAAACTTACCAATTGATTTAGAAGCAAATAAAGAAAAACTGATTGATTTGTTTTGAATTTGCAGATTGTTGCCACTTTGGATCCAAAACCAATGACCGGTGACTGGAACGGTGCTGGTGCTCATTGCAACGTTTCAACCAAAGCAATGCGTGAAAAAGGCGGAATCACAGCAATCAATCAAGGTCTTTTTTCTTTAACTTATTATTGGGGGGATCCAATTCTTTATCAACATTTATTTTGATTTTTTTGCCACAGCTGTTGAGAAATTGTCGAAATGCCACGAGAAACACATCAAAGCCTACGATCCAAATGGAGGAAAAGACAACGAACGTCGTTTGACTGGCAGACATGAAACCAGTTCAATTCATGACTTCAGTGCCGGTGAGTAAAAACAACCTTGTAATGAATCATGGGATTTGGTGGAAATTGTTCTTAAATTTAATTTGTCTTCTGTTTCTCTATTCAGGTGTTGCTCACCGTGGTGCTTCAATTCGCATTCCAAGAGGTGTAGCTGATGCTGGCTGCGGTTACTTCGAAGATAGACGTCCATCGTCAAACTGTGATCCATACTCTGTTGTCAGCACAATCCTCTCAACCATTTCCTTAAATAAGTAAACAACAAACGGGATACAATAATACACAATGTGTATTACACATTTTAATTTAGGATTTACACAGCACAATAATCAGCTTCATATTAGAAAAAAAAAACACAACAACAACAATCCAATCAACTAACACGATGATAACTACAAACCAAACAAATGAAAAGAAGAAGAAAAAACGTTAAAACGTATGTGAAGAAATGAAGGAACGAGAATGTTATTAATATTATGGAAGAGTTTATATATATTTGATTGATTGTACAAAAATAAAATTCAATGTTAATTGTTGAAAAATTTAAACAAAACCCGCTTATCCATTTGGTGTGTTAGTACAAAAATAGATGTATTGAAATGAATTTCGGCTGGTGACGCCAAAATCAAAACTGGACAAGCGATTGGCGTGAATGGGTGGGGTGAGTTTCTTAATAGTAAACATATCACAATACTTCAAGTAATTAAAACGATTGAGTCTATCGCAGATACTCAAAACGGCGATTTGAATCAAACACATTGCAGAAATTTATTTATTTGAGTTTGCGCTTACGTAATCATAATAATGAACCTTTATCTTTACGATTCAGATTAATCGTTTTTTTTTGTTCTTGATTCAACATCAGTTTAATTGATATGTTCCGCTGGGAAAAATTTAAATGACTCGAGTGTCAATTATCATTTTTATGCTGCGGGTTGACAACACAATTCCAATTAGATAACATCTCAAGATCCTATCGCTACATTGTGAACGGCACACTGAATTTATTGAATCTTCAGCAATCACAAAATTTGAGTCAAGAAGCAATTTATTCTGTTTATCGTGTGGCGTTCATATCTCATATAGGCTCATGTCACTTTTTTTTTTCATTGTTATTGTGGTAACAGAATTTATGACCATTTAAATATTGTTTTCAATTTATGATCGTGTTACGCAAATGGCCAAATTGATATTGAAAGATCGAGGTGACAACGTACGACACTAACCTACTCCAAATGACTACGATTCAAATATAACGGAACACGAGTTTAAACTTTTGTTATTCGAACCGAATTCTTTAGAGCGCGAATACAATCACATTTTCTCAAAAAAAACAAAAAAAAAACTCCTAAAGCGCGGCAATCACAAATTGTGATTCACAATGCCATTGTGAGTTCGAAATTATAAATGTTTGTCCTTGTTGAAACTGATTTGTATTCCAAATCATGATATACTTAAATACGTTTTTATATTGAAAGGCTTTCAAAATTACACAATGTTCTGAAAAATGCACATTCATCTGGTGGAAAAAGTAAATTCTCTTTTGAACCCATTGCAAATGCGCGGTTTTTATCTTCGCTAAATTCCATTTCGAAACGTAGTAGTTTCGAAGTGACTACGAAATCGTAAATTCGTCACATGAAGTGTCATTCGACCAATTGACTTGAAAACAATAACAAGGCATTAGAAATTTTGTTGAAGAAAAATGGCATCGCCTCGCCCAAAATCACCTAAAACTCCCGTTTCGAAGAACGAGGGAGAAAGTTTCTGGGATAAAATCGGTACAATTGGTAGAAAGAAGCGAATCAAGGAAGGTAAATTATCAAAACTCAAGTTTTTTTATGGTTGAATTAGTGCTTCTCTCGCTATTTTGGTATGACTCAATACAGTGTTTACCTTATATGGTATGATTGTAAATTTTTTTTCTCGCAAATTCGTATGTTTCGGTTAGTTTAATCAAACGATGGATATACATTTCGAGATATTTCCTACATTTTGTTGATTTTGCCAATAAATTCATGTGAAATTAGTGTATTTGGTGGAAAATATAGGATTTTCGGTTCACAGACTCTGTATTAGCATGCTGTCATACATACGAAAATACCCACGCAGTACAAATTACCTCTATGAATGAGATTTTCACTCGCATTTGTTCAATTTCAGTACAAGAAGTGCAAGAAGAAGGTCGACATGCCATCGATGATCCAGGTGCGCCAAATGCCCCAGAAATTCCACCGGAAGATTATATTTTGCGTAAGTAGCAATGTTGACTGGTGCCAAATGATACAGTTTGGCATTTTTCAACTTTGCATCAAAATGTTAATCGTTTTTCATGTTAAAGGTGACAACGAATCTCGTGCCATTATTCAACCACAATCATTGACCGATCCAGCAGTTAAGGAGCTCATAAGCACTCTGATCGATTGGGTAAACGATGAGCTGGCCGATGAACGTATTATCGTGAAAAATATCGAAGAAGATTTGTACGATGGCCAAGTTTTGCACAAATTACTCGAAAAACTCACTGGCCGCAAACTGGATGTACCCGAAGTGACACAATCGGAAGAGGGTCAACGCCAGAAATTGCAAATCGTTTTGAATGCCGTTAATCATGTGAGTTAAATGAATGACACAATTTGATATGGAAATTAAGGGCAATGCATTCATTCCCTTTTATTCTTTTCAAACTGTTCTTTTCAATGGATTTATTTTTTTCAGACTCTGGGCTTCCATCAAAAATTGCCAAAATGGAATGTCGAAAGTGTTCACTCAAAGAATATGGTAGCAATTTTACATTTGCTCGTCTCGTTGGTACGCCATTTCCGTGCTCCGGTTCGTTTGCCCGAGAATGTTTACGTGACCGTTGTCATTGCACAGAAAAACGGAACATTGCTAAGTGCACAGAAGTATCAGGAACAATTGACATCGCAGTACGATGACGTTGGCATGAGATGCGAACGTGATGCTTTCGATACATTGTTCGATTGTGCTCCAGACAAATTGGCCGTTGTAAAGAAAGTAAGAAGTTTCTCAATGAATCTGACTGATTTCACTTGAACACTTGTGTCTTGATCATTCAATGGATTGGCAAGTATCAAAAGAAAATACTAATTGATAATGTTTTTCCGTTTCCAGTCTTTGATCACGTTCGTCAATAAGCATTTGAATAAATTGAACTTCGAAGTGAACAATTTGAACTCTGACTTCAAGGATGGCGTTTACTTGTGCCTTTTGATGGGTTTGTTGGGTGGATTCTTTGTGCCATTGCATGAATTTCATTTGACACCAAAAACTGTTGAACACATGGTAATATTTAGAATCGAATGTATAATAAGCAAATTTGCCCTTCATTCAAAAAATCTTCATCAGAAATTTCCTAATCTCTTCGAAAATCGAAATTGATGATGTTCGTTTTTGTATTTGCAGGTGGACAACGTGTCATTTTCATTTGAATTAATGCAAGATGTCGGTCTTCCAAAGCCAAAAGCCAGAGCAGAAGACATCGTCAACATGGATCTGAAATCTACCCTTCGTGTTCTCTACAGTCTCTTCACCAAATACCGAAATGTTGCTTAAGCTCATTTGACACAACTGCCATTGATGAACTAACAGTCGAATGCAGCAAACTTTGACTGATTTTCAATCGATGGCAAAGTGGATTTTAATTTTAATTAACTAGATGTTTTGTGTACTTATAACAATTACTAACGACGTTGAAATCGTATTTTCGTACAAATAAAAGAATTTATAGTGACAGTGCAAATGTAGTAACAGCAGCAGGCCAAATTAATGATAGTGTTTAACAAAGTACTTTTGCCTTATATTTTATTAAACATTTTCATAAATAATAACATTCGATTTTTTTTCTAGTTGAATCCATTTCAATCAATAACTTTGTATTATAAATTCTACAAAATAAATATATTTTTATTTACAATAACAAACCTTTAAAATTATTTATTCAAGAAAAATTGGGTTTGAATTAAAATTCAGTTGCACATCATCATGTGGTTCTCGAGAAGATAAACGAATGTGACAAGCTGTTGTCTGCACTTTAAGAAGGTGAACGAAATTTGTGTAAACAAGCTGCTTCCTAAAGTTCATCGAAGGTTATTTTTGGAATTTATGCAAATTCCTCCAAAAATAGAATCAAAAGTCAATTATTTATTGAAGTTGACGCAAATGACACACAGTTGATTATGTGGCATACGTGTGGAATTTCGGTAAAATCCTTTGTAATATTATCGCCGTAATTTTATATGCAGAAGAATATTAAATTTCGGGTGTTTCCGCTCTAATTTGTCACACATACAATCGATAGACTGTGGGAGGGATGTGTTATCGAACATACTTAACGTAATTACACAGCCTATCAAATATAACAAAGTGAAGCGTTGAACAATAAATTCCATTGATGTATTGTCAGAGGAAGTTACGGTTGATAAGACAACATCAACAACATCAACAACAACAACAACAACATTGCGAGAACATTGCTTTGCCATAATTGACGTACTTACGTATCGAAACCAAATTTATATATCGTCCAATATATTCGGGATGTGTTATATAAACCATGTTACATCATTACTTGTTAAGGATAGATCTTTAATATTGATTGATCGTCATTACTTAAAACATATATTTCGAGAAAATCGAACATTGAGTTTTGCTGTTTAGTAATCCATCACCGCCACCATGAAACGAGTTAGCCTACATTTTAGAGTTTAGAATTAGAATCTCAATGCGCATTTATCAAAAGAACTGAAGCTAATTTTAGGAAACAACTAAATAAATTTCTTCACTCTTTCTCTCTATGTGTGTGTACCGGTACATTTATTTTTTTTACAACGAGTTTCAAAGCTAGAGATTCAAAGCAAGGAGAAATTGTGTGCGTGTGCGTGTGTGGCTAATAGGGTATTTTTTCGTCAATTTTCGAATATACGATGTGGTATATAATATCCATTAATGAACTCCATGCCGTTTTTCCAGCTTCGTCCAAAGAGCAGACTTGCATCAACACCGAGACAATCACATCCCGTAGTTCCTAAATTTGGAATGGCAAATGGAAAAATTTCGACATTTACATAATTTAATGAGAAATTAAACAAGTTGATGATGTGGCAAATGCAAACAAACCAAACGCACAATATTTTTCTGTGGTTGGTACGCCAAAGAGGAATTCAACTCACCTCGAATGATTGACGCGAGATTTTTCGTCGATTGTGCGATTCACCGATTTTGATCCAAATTCGCTCTAGTTCATCGACATAATTTTCGTTGCTTAAACTCGATACCGCTTCTTGAAAAACGCCCATCACTCGTCCCGCATGGGTGCGAAAACCAGGAGTTCCCTGTGTATTTCACAAACTTATTACATTTTTAATGAGAGGAAACCGAGAGATAGACAGGGAAAAATGAGGTGAATAATATTTCCGAGGATTTGAGAGAAAGAATTGAACAAATCGGATCCTTCAGCGACTAGAAACCGTGGTTGCTCGTGCTCACACATACACTCATACGCGTACGCACCGAGGCCACAAATCTGAAATATAATTAATTAGCTCATTACACCTTAGGCGATTGTAACACGAAATGGAAAACCACATTTTCACATCGTATTTTAATGATTCACATGTTACTCGTTTGCATGGCACTGATGCTGTGTGCACTTCGACGGCATGTCGAGCAAATGGAGTATTTGCTCGCTTGCCCCTAAAAAGTTGGACATTTTTCTCTTTCTCTCTCTTTCTTTCACTCCCTCTATTTCTCTCTCTCTATCTCTTGACTGTTGTTTCAGTAAATTTTACTGTAATTGAGCCCATGGTTTTATGATGCACAATCACGTCACATACATACCTTTAGCGAGAGCAACGGTGTATTTTTGAACGAATTGAATTTTTCCTGATTTTTTGGATATTTTTCAAAGTACGCGAGCAGAATGACTTCACCCGAATCAATTGCATTTTGCGCTGGAATGGCCCATGTTGATTGAATTATCGCAATCTGTTCCGACGTTAACGAAGTCATCATGGGAATAACTGTTGGTTTTTTTTGACAAGATGCAATTACACCCATGATTTTTGTTTTGTTTTCAACAGAATTGGTTTGATGGATTTAAATTGAGCGGTATTCTATTTATGTTCTTTTCTTTTGGATGGTTGTGTTTGTGTTTTTGATATGATTTTTATGATGTTTAGGTGACATGATTTAGAACATGACGAATTTTTGTTCGAGGGAGGCAGAAGGGAAAATTTGGAAAAAAAATATATTCGATTTTAGTTCCAATAGAATAAGGCTTATGCTAAATACAGGTTTACGTTCAATCAAAGCTCCATCCACAATATAACCAAAAAAAGAAATAAAAAGTCGACGTTTCTTTTTTTAAGTAAACGATTACATGCATTAGATGACGCAAAAAGTAACAAATAGAAATAAACACGCAAAAAACATTGAATGCAACGCAAAAATCTTCTATTAAGACATTTATTATCAAACATGATAAGAAAGCTATGAAAAAAAGATGGAGAAAATACGATTCAACTTCAAAATTAATACGAATTCAATTTACATCGAAGTTTAATATTCTCCATCGAAATGATTATTTATTGCAATTCATTTTTGTTGACGTTCAGTGTTTGGCTTGTGGGATTTTTGTGGAACACTAGCAAAAATTGGCCTAGATATGCTATCATTAAAACAATTCAATACCAGACAAACGACATAAAAAATCGAATGTCACTTTGTGAAAGCGTATCGAATCCTATCCTTCGGCATTTTATTTCGCCACTTGCGCCACAATAATTTAAATTGATGAGATGTTTTTCGGAAGAGATTTCGAGCACGCTTACATGCTAATAGAAATGATTGCAAAGAACTACTGTAAAGAAGGAGATTTGGATTGCGAACAAATTGAAGAAATATTATTCAAATTGAGAATAAAAGCTGTAGATGAATGTACGTGCAGTGCATAATGCTGCATATGCATGCACACAATGATGTTCTTATCTTGAAGACTTTACTCAATGGCGTCGAGTTTCGAAGTAACAATTAAAAAGAAAAGTACGTGAGGGAAAACGTACGTTCTTTGTCTCCGATTCGCAGAAAATTTAATGAAATTCTAAGTTGAGTTCCTTTTGAATGCCAGAAACATATAAATTGGTTCAAACAAGCGACGTTAAATCAACTGAATTCACAGACGTTGCATTGTGGCTTCATTCAAATTTAATCGATTGCAAAATGTCCACAAGCCATTTACTGTCTATTGAATGCAGTCGACGTGATTTGCTTGTGGTCATTTGCACCACCGCGACGAATTCAACATCAATAAAATTAAAATCGAATCAAAAGGAATGACGGAACGTACAAGCAAACAAACGAAAGAAAAAGAGAGTTAAAACTGCAACAAAATTGTTTTGGTGTATCGCATACAAGTTGATTATAGACTCAAGTGCAAATGATCTCGATCTGGGTAAGTGTCCAGTGTCAGAATATCGTCAAAGGCATCGTTTAACCGTGGTTTGCGCATAGATTGTGCTCCATTCCTTTGTGTGTCAATTGATGGAGTGAGTGTTGTGTGTCGTTTGGGGTCAGTAATAAATGTTAAGTGAGTCTGGCATCCCGCAGAAGGGCAAAATACTCACAAATATTTTACTACGACATCGGGCTTTTGTCTCTCATCAGTCATCATTCAATCGAATGTGACACATAAGGAAGTTTCTTTAATCAGTTTAAACGTTTGTAGCAGCTCTTAATTTAGGAGGGAGAAAAATGAGAAGATGAGAACACGACACAACACGACGACGAGAAGCAAAAAAAGAAGACGACCGTTAAATAAACAACCAGAAACGGAGTGTGGCACACGAATATGACAAGCATTTTGATTGAAATGTATCTGGTGTGTGTCGTATATTACTTACGACCGATGCATATATTAGTGGATCGACGTTTTGAAGAAGCAACAGCAAAAGCTACAGCAGCGAACCCAAGAAGCAAGAATTCATTTTGTGTCTTTTCATACAATTTGAAATTGTATGGTTTGGTTTCGAGATACGGAGTAAATGAGTGGAAGCGAGAGAAGAGAGAGAGAGAGAGAGAGAGAGAGAGAGAAGGACGCGCATTCGACAGATGGAAGGATGAAATGGAATGGGTTATTTAAAACGCACAACTCGAGCCAACATGTCGACTACATATTTGCCTATGACAAATAAATTAATTACAAGCAAAGTGTGCTCGAAGAAGAGCTTCTCTAATTGAAAATTCATGTGAGTGTCTCTCGGCTCGTTGTTGTTCTTTACCACCACCATCACCATCACCACCACCACTGTCGTACATACGTATAGAATACGTATACAATGAATGTACGGATGGCAGAGAGTTTGCTTATAAAACCACAAAACCACATTGAATGTTTGCAACGTGGAGTTAATCCCATAATTTGGCATCGAGCATAGATTTACTGGTTTAGTTATGAATGAGAATGAAGAACAAAACACCACTTGCACTCTCTCGACTTTGTCAACTCCAAGCCATTTTGATGTTGAAAAATTATTGCACAAAAAAGAATTATTTGCGGTGGCTGGTGTAGAGTAGGATTCAAATCCAGCTCGCATTCATATCACACATACGCATTGTGTGCACAAAATGACGTATGACTCTTCTCAGCCACTGTTTATTAATAATTCAATCCATCGAGTATACCCAACACTTTATGATGCCAATCAGATCCATTGTTGACAAATTACTCTTCACTTATTTATTTTTATCATTATCAATTGAAGTGCGTTGTGCTGCTTCGGTTGCCGATAACTTTTGGCATTTTTTCAATATCCCCCCTCGACAGATAATGCTTTTTTTTAAAATAATTTTCAAATGAATCTAAACAAGGTTTTTGGATTAACGATAACATTTGCGTGATAATGACACAGCAAAATGATCAACGAATCATATGATTTTGGCTCACACGATTTTCGTCTTTGTTTTTTTTTTTCGACAAGTATACAATTCAGTCACATTGTGTTATTTAGAACTCTTGCTGATTCGATGGGAAAAAAACATCGCGCGAAACTCATGACATCGACTTGTAATAAGTAAAGTTACTTCCTTTGCTGAGTAATGAATTTTAAACATTCCATTAAAATCTTTTGCTTTTGACTTTCATCAGTCCATGAACATTCCTTCTAACCATGAAGGCCATATCCCTACCAAAGGAATCGTTCCTCATAAATATTGACACGGCAGACGATAGTGAAAAAAGCTCATTCCAGAAATGGGCCCATATGTCGTTAAAATGTCTTAAGAGTGAAGAAGAAAAAATTCTAACAAAACAAATTATGATAATTTGTTGTCAGAAAATTTTGTGTATTTTGCGTTGTTGTGAAAATGGGACACGGTGCCAAGTTTGTAAAGCGTACAGGATCTCTTGTTCACTCACTCACTCGCTAGCTCTGTTCGCACCCAGGGAATGACGAGGGAACGAATGAGCAAATTTACAGTAATCATGGTTATCACATACAACGCACCATATTAATTATTCTGTGAAGTGTGAAAACATTAAGGCATATTGTTTATGTGCCGTATGAGCTGGATATGTTTCCTTCGTCGTCGACGTTGTTGTTGTTGTTGTTGTCGTAGTCATCGTTGTTGCTTTCGCTTTGGAGGTTGGAGGGATAGCTTGAATTTGTCTTTGTAATTTCGTTTGTGTTTCATGTGTACTTGCTTGGAAATAGGCAACGAACACACAAATTAGTCTGCAAAAAAAAACGTATGTTTTGATCCAGAGATCCGCACAAAGGGCCGTATTATCTTTTGTTTTTCGAATATATGGCAAAATAATGATGTATTAAACACACAAAAGTACACATTACACAAAAGACATGGAAAATAAATTGCACTGTGAGTGAACTGAACATATAGGCACACATAGTGTGTATGTCGGTAGTGTGGTTCGCCTATATATGTATATATGAAACGGCACAAAATCAAATGGGCTCGTTCGCCTTTAATGTTTCACTCAAAAATTGTTGTCGCTTGTTTATTTTTTCCCATTTTTTATGTTCAAATGCTGCTTTTGATATCAAAAATCGTATGCCATTGTGCTGTTGCATGGCTAAGATCAAGAATTTTTCGTCAATTTTTCTTTCAACAAAACCAACATTGAGTAACAGAAAGAAAAAAAACGAGCACAAAAAACGAGTCACTGAATGTTCACCTAAGGATTCATTTTGTTATTCTATTTTGTTTTCGAAGATGAAACGCGATACCATTTGCATTGAATAGGATACGAGAAACCAGTTCAACAATAAATTGTTGCTTTCAATCGGAACAAAAATTATTACACAACAGAATGGAAAAATAGTGGCCAAATCAAAAGAACAAAACGCAAAATCGAGAGCGAGACAACAACTTAAATTACAATAGCGACAATGAAATGTGCACAACAAAAACACAACATACACCAAAACCAATCAAAATTGAATGAATCTAGAAAAATAAAAGTGTGATTGTTGTATTATTTATTTATTTTTTTCTCTCTCGTCTATTTTATTTACTTGGCTTGAATGAAATGCAATGTTAACTGATTCTAAGAATCGCCGCTCTCTGTCTCGTCCACAAACACCAAAGTGTGAAAGTCGTCGATGTGTTTTTTTTTGTCGGGAGAAAATTGGTCGTGTGTCGTCGGGTGCTACCGCACTTTGTTGTGATCACTCAAAATGTTTAAACAACACTGATACCCATTTCTTCAACTAAAACTGTATATATACTAGTCGGCATGTCTCTCTCACAGCAAAGCAAACGCATTGAATTACAAGCGTATATACACATGGTGGGTTGGTGAGCGGTTGTGTGTATTATACGGCCCGACGATGTGGAGCAATAGAGACGTGTGCCACTGTGGATTACATGGAGCGGGCGCGAGTGAGTGAGTCAGAACGAGGCCAAAAGCCAAATGGGAGAGCAAAAAAAAAGAACGGCATAACATGTGATACACAAATTATTATTGCTACCATGTGCTATCACATTCATGTCACACAATGTTATCTCCGCTGTGCTGTGTTTATAAGTTCACAAATTATAGACTGACGATCAAGGCGAATCGTTCACATTCCGTTTGCGGATTAACTCAGTTCGCTCATTAAAATGTTTCCAGTGATTTTCAGTGTCTGCATTCCACCACCCGCACCACAAATGGAAAATCGCCTCGAACTTACTCACCGTACATACATACCGCACTCTGCTGCATATAACAGCAGCAGCAGCAGCCAACAGCACAGCACATTGTGTCTAATTCCGTTCTCTTGGGCTCTGTGTCGCGCGCGCTGGAAATTCGCTTCACACAATATGACAATGTGACTCGGTGTCTCAGCCGCCACAGTCTCTCGATGGATGAAGTGCGAAAGCACATCATACTCAATGTGATACACACTTGTCGTGTGTATATTTAAATGGAATAAGAAAGAATTATATGCGGTAGAATAAACAGCATTTGCATATTATTTACTCTCACTCCAGAGGCGCGTGCGAGCCAAACGTTTGTTCGCTCGTTCGCTTGAGCGTTGGCTCACTTCACTCACTGAGTCGACTGACTCTAGCTGATTCTTGCCACAAGCCAATTGAGCGTTGTGTGTTGTTGTGGATTTTGAAACAATATTTTATTTCACCACGACACAACATGTTCATTGGTTACATCGTATCATGCACCATCGCATCATTTGCATATCTCCAGCTAAATATTAAAATGGAATTGGAAACGAGAGACCATGATGCGACAGGACACTCTCGACGCCAGTCACCAAGTTCTCTGTCCTCTTCTTCTTCTTCTTCTTCTTCTTCTCGTTTGGTCCAAGTGCCGAACAAGAGCATACGGTTGGCCTACCATGAAACTTTGTTTGCCCCGACATTATTATCAGCTTTTTTCTCTCTCTGCTCATTCTATTTTCTTTATCCATTTATGAAAGATCAACAACCAGCTGAATAATATTCCACCAAATCCACTTTAAAGGGAAAAATTATGACAAAGTATCATATTCTGATGCGAAAAGTATATTTGAATTTCAAAAAAAAAAAAAAATTCCCCTTGACCCAGACAATTCCATCATGTCGCTTGTCGAAAAATATATTTACCGCCATTCTCTTTCGAAAAGCGATTATGAATATACACACATTTTCCTAATAATCCGAATGGTTGTTTCGCATATACCGCCTCCTATGGGGTAGAACGTGCAGACTCACTGATAACATTACTACAGTGCCAACAAACAAACGATAAGTAAAAACGATTATTATTATCATGTTTATGCACATTCTGTGTGTTATCATCCGGTTTTCCACTTCGAAACATTTGAATCAATTTGCAATATTATTATAACGAACAAACGAAATTATGAACATGGATTTGAAAAAGACTATATATTGGGTTTTCAATTCGATTTCGGTCGTCGATTCGATTATGATATTCTGTTTATACGAACATTCTTGGGCACCAAGCGACAAAGGAATCGTGAAAAACGTATCGTGACACCCGGTCAATTAAAGTGACCCCAATGAATTGGTGAAATTGGTTGGCTTGTAAAACACAACAATTCGATAAATGATAAGGCCATAACGATTACTTCAATTATCTGTCGAAGCAAATGTCAAACAATTTCCAGATCAATTCGTCAATCGCAGAGAGAAGCAACAGCAACGGCAACAGTAAGAAACACTTTAGCAATGATGTTCTATTTTTAACACTTTTGCTCAAATTTGCTTGACGAACATGAGACGAATATTCGATTAATGACTGGAATTCCATTAATGTGAACTTAATTATGAACTCGAGTCATGCAATGCAGATAAACAAACAACACCCAAAAACTACATTGCACTATTTGCTTGATTAATTGCGCACAGATGAAAGCAAAAAACTAATATTTTCATAAGGTGAATATAAAGCACGTATTTCTATGTTAAAATATTCTTTTGATGAGGTCACCTATTCAATTTGCCCATTTTTATGATAGACTTGTTCTGTCCTTGCGGAGTTCAATAAAGAATATTGATTTATTGAGAATACGTTCAGTTTGATTTTGTATTAATGAAGATGTTCTAAGTTATATACATACCTTTATGAAAGGTTTCTATTAAACTTAAACTATATCCAGAAAACGCCCATCATAATTCAGTTAAAATCAAATGGAAAATTCATTTCTTCTTTCGATAATAAAGAATAAAAATACAAATTAAATTATATTACTAGAATTTATTTGTTATTCAACTCCATCAATGATGAACTGTAACATTTGCTTAGTAGTGTTGAAATATAGGTAAAAATTTTGAAACTTATTTGTGTTAACTTTACGATCAGTGTGATTGTATGTTTCTTATCAAACATCTTTCACCAAGTGACGCGATTATTCAGCACATTTTCGTTAAAGAGTAAATAAACAACAGTTAATAATCAATTCTATATGGTTGGTCAAACACCATTGCCAGAAATGTACTCTTTCAAGACGGAAACGAACATGCGGGTATTTCAATTTGGGTGTAGTTATGATTGTTTGTAAACTATTTGATTTAATTTGTGCATGAAATAGTCGCAATTCATCGTACATTTCTGATTCCACTTTGGAAATCGGATTTGTATTTAGGAATCGATTTTCAATGCGGTACAATAATATTGGTATAAAGATTATTGAGTGAACTTGAGGCATCCAAAAGTGACAAGTTCATTGAAGTTCGCCGACTTTATTACAATTAAAATTCGTTTTATCAAAAAATGCGTCTACCCCATTTGCATAATTGTAACACCAAAAACGTGTGAGATTCAATTTGGAGTATGTCGAATAGTTATTGTCGCTAGGGGCTCGGATCTATATAAAATCATATTTTATACGCACTTTATATGCAATATATGCATTTTATATGAAATATACGCAATATCCGCAAAATATTCGCGATATACACATTTATTTATTTTTTTAGATATTTTGTGGATATTGCGTATATTTCATATAAAATTCATATAGTGCATATCTATTGACTAGATCGAGAGGAGAGTTAGTTCATCTGACTTTGTTACGAAAGAGGAGAGTAAGTTTCTTTCGACTCAAAAATGGTTAAAGGCGAGTATGTTCATTTTTGGCGGGTCCTCGCGGTTTTCCACGGTTTCCGCGGAACTGATAAGAGATAACAACTTGGTCGACAAAGTTGTAGCACTCGAGGTCTTCTATAACATTGCTGAAGTCAGTTATCTCTTATCTCTTATCAGTTCCGCGAAAAGCGCGAAAAATGATAAGAAAAAAAAAGTTCTATATAAAATTTGCTTTTTTATGTGCGCGATTTGCGCGCAACTGATAAGAGATAAGAGATAAGAGATAGATGTCTTCAGCAATGTTAAAGAAAACCTCAAGTGCTACAACTTTGCCGAAGACACCATGTTGTTATCTTTTATCAGTTTCGCGTAAACCGTGAAAAACCGCGGAGGCTAGACGGGATGCCAACATACTTCCTTTTAACGCAGATAGAATCAACAGAAATCATACTCTCCTCTTTCAAAATATATTAGAATTTTTTCACATACTCTCCTCTCGATCTAGTCAATAGATATAAAGTGTATATATTACGGTTATTTTGGATATCGAAGCATGTGAAACGTCATTTTCTTATTAATATACGTGAAATATCCGCGATATCCACAGTTATACGCATTTATACGCAAAAAGTAAAAATATATGACGTTATATGTAAAATAACCGCAATATATGCAACTTATACGCGATATATAATTCCATACTCTGAAGTTCCGAGCCCCTTGTATTGATGAATTCATTGCAGGCGATTTTCCCTACTTGGAACATTTAACGATTGAATTGAGCCCTGAACTG